AAAAATAAGTTATTTAAATTATAAAGCAATATGAAAGCTAGAGAAATATTTTGTAAAAACGAATAAAAAAAAACACAACAACAAATAGGAATGCACATGAAGTGCAACTTTGATATGTTAGAGAAAAGCTTACTCCATAAAACAAAAAGCATGATCATAAACATATATTTTCAAATTAAACCAAGCATTTACAAAAAAAAAATAATTGACACAATAACACATTTTATTTAAATTCATGTGTGAAAATATTATACAATCTATTTATATAAAGCAAAGTGGTCAGGTGCCCGATAGGGCACTTCCCAGTGCCGCAGGCGCGTCAAATTTGGCACGGTGGTGCCTTGGGGCGGTAGAACACGAGGGCCGGTAACGAAAAGTCCACGGAGAGGGGGTCAAAACTGACCTTGACAGACCGGCGCCTTATATGGGCTATATTACGAAAATAACCGAACGACCCCCTTGATATTTTGTGAGGTGGTAGGAGATTGCCTAAGGGTGTTAGAAAAAACTCGGCATATCCGAGGAAAATATGCAAATTGGTCAAAACTGACCAGTCGAATTTCCCAATATAATCTTTGTATTTTAAGGGAAAAACATAGAGTAATTTCAAAAAATAATTTAGGGCTCTTACCCTCTGTTTATCTGGCTAAATTTTTGCATGCTCCTAGGTAAATGGTTTGGCCTTTTGGGAAAACTGTCGGGAAAACTGTTGCGAAAGATGACCGCGAGTAAAAATCTTATTTGAGCTATAAAACGAAAACATTTCTTGCCGAACGACCCCCTTGATATTTTGTGAGATGTTCGTTTGTACAACTAAGTTGTTAATACTGTTAAACTTCATTGTGTTTTTTCAATTACATACGGTAATATGATTACATTGTTGCGTAATTCATAATCATCCATCGTTCGTTTGATAATTATAGTATGCTCCTTTTTTCGTTTACAGGGTATAACTTAGTTTGCCTTTAATTTATCCACAGCTCACTTGTGTAGTTTAATAAATAAAAAATCACTTCATGATAAAGAAATAATTGCCATGAAAATTATTTTAATCCATAATTACAAGTTATTTTGTCAACGTGTTCCATACATCAAAAATTATTTTCGCATGATTATAAGATTTTAAGATTACTGTTCTCTTTGATCTAAACTACAAGACATTAATATTGGGTATTTTATTGCTTTTTATTCGTTAACTGAAATGTTGGAAGAAATTTCCTCCAAGACAATCAAATATTACGTGTATACAAGGCAGCAGTTGTTTTATTTATGGAGTTTTCTCTCCAAAATGGGATTCAGGTTCCGGCTATCGAGCCTCTTCTGCCGAGGGGTTTAAAGTCAGGATGTTTAGGTTTAGCAACCGTGAGCTTTACCTAGTCGACCACGCTATTTATTTTTTCTTATTATAAACATTTTTTTCAAATTAATTAATCCATTTTTCATAAAAATAAAAATTTAAAACGTTACAAGTTTAAAATTAAAAACTGTTAAATTGTCAAAGAACATGACTTCTCGCTTCAGTTAATAGACTAAAAAATTTATTTTGCTTTAATACACATGAAAATGCGAATGAATGTCTTTGCAAATTTAGGACTAAAAATAATGTAAATAATAAAGTTTATCGAGGCATTGGTTTGATAAACAAAATGTAAGAAAACTCGAATGAAAGCCAGGCAGTTTGTGGAATACAAACTCATGTCAGATAAAGTATAGTTATAAATGTTTGTCGGGACAAGATTCAGTACAATCGCACTCGTACAGAGTGTCAGGGTTACCTTTACAGATCTGATGTCTTTAACTCTCTTCGAACGAGCTTCGGCTGAGGCCATATTCTTCATTTTATTATAAGAAATATTTAACCTCAATATAATCAAGAAAGTACAAATCACCACAGTGCCTGTAGGTATGATAATTGCAATAGTGCTTAATATTGCAGTATGGTATATTGTATTATATTCATTGCTAAAAGCAAATTTATTTGTTGCATAATAAGCAACAGTACTGTTTGTTCCACTATAGAAAGCCCATACAATATAATTTGTGAATGTTTGTGGTATATAAATTATCCCATCTAATAAATATATAACAAGAGTTATCCATTTGATTCTGTATATGGTGATAACAGATGAAACAAAAAACGGAAAACATATAGCAATCATTCTCTCTAAAGCTATCAACGCCACCATATGACCGCTGACACAAACAGCATATTGTTTCCAACATAGTATGTAAACATGAGAATAGTCACCTAAATTAATAGCTACTTCCATATTAAAATAGTTAATTATGTATGGAAGTATAAGACACATCTCACTGACAGAGAAAAACAAATCACATGCGGCCAATGATGCTAAAATGATGTTGTTTGAATCGTTGAGTCCATTATACGTTGGAATAATAATTGTAGTAATGTTGGCGATAATCCCAAAAACACAAATTGTTGGAGTAATCACACAGTTAAAAATTAATATGAATTGGTTTAACGCATCTGGTGAAACATCACATAGCGGCCCAACTGTTTCGTTCGTAAAAGTTAAATTAAAATCTTTAGAATTAACCATTGTCTTCGTGCTACTGTATTAAGATTGAACTTGCTTTATTGAAATACGTAAAGGAAAAAACTTTTTTTAAAAACATATGCGCTGAGATTTTACAATTGCTCTTAAGAAATTTAGCATTGCTACATGATTTGTCAATTTAAACGAGAAGAGAATTTGTATTGAAATCTAAGCGTTAAGGATGATTGACTCACGTTACAAGTATTTTATTTATGTGATATAAATAACGTATGTTCGACGAAACTAAAAATAAAATAACTGTCATTGCAACTAATACCAATAATATCGTTTAAACCTTTGCGTTCATAGAATGATAAGCTTTCAAAAGAATAACTGTTTCATAATTCATAACACAGCATTATTAATTTAATGGTTATGATAAAAACACAGTTTGGTAATAATAGCTCTTTTACTGTATGGAGTATATAATTGTGTACGCTTTAGATTTATTAGAACCTTTCATGTGGAGTAAAATAATAAATTATCTTTTGAAATGAAGAAATATTGAAAAAGCCTTAATTTCATAATTAAAAGTTCTTTGTTCATCTGTGTACCATGCTTCTATAATTATTTTTTTTTATAATTGTAAGATTTTAAAATGATAATTGTCTATGTTGTTTGATCTTTCGTATTTCATCTTAAGTGTCCCACAACGACGTATTTTAATGTCGTAGATACGCTGTATTTTTTTCTAACATGCTGGTAACGTATATATATATATATATATATATATATATATATATATATATATATATATATATATATATATATTGTCATATAGTATGTATTTAACACCCTCAACAATGTAGGGGAGAAGGGGGTGAAAAGTCACAAATTTCACTTTTTAGGAAGTGAAACTTTAACAATGTTAATGCACCAGATACTAGTTCCACATTTCAGATAACTGTATGCAGAGCCGTTTGGAATAGCTGTTCACGGTATGCCCATGACAGACTTTCAAAATGGTGATTTAGAATTGTATTATTTTACCCCAGTGCGGGGTAAAAACTTATATGCTCGGGGTGAAAAGTCACTCAATTTAAAAATAAAATAAAAAAATTGCTGTGAATTTTCGTCCTTGTGACTTTTCACCCACTCATCCCCATTATTTTGTTATTTGTCTTTAAAAAAGTAGGATCTAATTGCTGATGTAATTTATTAGAAAAAGACATTTATATATTTTCTTTTAGTCATATAATTATGCATAGAACAAATTTAAAACATACTCATATAACAACCTAAAGAAGTGTTTTTAATATTCCAAGCGATTTTGTAAAAGTTTAAAAAACAACATAAAAATATTACTTTCGAATATGTTTTCTTTATAGACACTATTTATATTATCCAAATAAACATCAAACTTATTTATATCATGGGAGAATATAATATTGAGATTATATTAATTTATTAATCAAAATAAACGCTACATTAGCGTATTTGCAATTTATTTCTCTATAATTTTTGTCTTAAATAAATATAGTGTGGAAAATATCAGCATGGGCATGCAAAAATACATATTTTACTTCACCAAACAACATTGAAATTATTTCTTCAAACACTACACAAGGATTATAAAAAACGAGAAGATACTAAATGGAATACAAAACATGTCTAACACATTAAAAACTGATAATATAATTTAATGATCACCCTCATTACGAGGTGGATACGAAGCTTTTTTAATAATCATACTTTACTTTGTTATTATTGATATATCTCAAACAAGCTACTTCGTGCAATGTGTCGATCTAAAACATTTGAAAATCTTATCAAGATTGTTATTAAATGAAAAAGTTCAAGTAAACAAAGGCACATGTAAATAGTGGTATTACAAAGGTTTATATGGTATGAAATGTACTCAAACTTCTCTGAAACGTTCAACAAAGAAAACGCTGACTTCAGCGACTTAATGGTAAGATTCTAGGACTCGAGGGTAAAAAATAGACACTCAAAGATAAAGAGCAAATAAGTCTAAGGAGATTTCTAATAGCTCCATTGGAAGTTTTTATAGCTAAAAAGAGAAAACAAACAGGTCAACTAATATTTTATTAAATTGCTCTATAGAAGATCCAGTAGCTCCAAAGAGAATACAAAAAGATCAACAGAGATTTCAAATAGTTCCATGGACTGTTCTTTTAACTGAATTCGATATTTACCAGCAGTTTTGTTGATGAATCATTATAGTAAGAAATCATTGTATAATTTGACATCGGCATGCTTAAAACTTTTATTTGAGCGAAACTTTTATCACCATACCGTGTTTTGGGTTTTAACACACTAATCACGTGTAGCCTTTAAATAAACAACACATTTACACAATGGTAAAAACCATGTATGTGTCTACTCTCTAAACTTTGAATAAATCTAAATTAGGTTCATACTATTTTTTACTCCTTCTAATTATGTTGTATATATATACACCCCCCACACAGCCCTTCTCATCTAAGAAGCGGTTGTCATTTCACAAATGTATCTATTTTTTAGGCTGCAGTCATTGTCGTTGAATGGATAGAGCAGTGGGTTATACTCCACACAATCTTCTAAATCCTGGTTCCCCTTGTTACCTGAAAGAGAAATAAAAAAGGGCACCTATTAGTATATATGGATAGTATCAGAGAAACTCTTCAAAGATTCAAATGCAAAACTTTACTTTTTTGCTATTGAAGACGATTTAATGTGTTAAGTTATTCGAGGAATGGAAGCAAACATAAGTGCTGAAATAGGATTTTTAGATACTCAAATTTGTTTTCTCAAGAGTTTCTTCCATGCATTGTTATAAGGGGGAGGGGGGGGGGGGGGCACTACCCGAACGAAATGGAAATTATATAGAAAAAAATATACTTTTACGTTTCATCTAATTCTCACATCATACAGAATTAAATGGATTGTTAACACTATATATGTGTTCAATGGAATATGTTATATGCCACAATCAAACAGTACTGTTTTTTTCAACAAATGACTTTGCTTTAGGCGACGCGTTTAATATAATTTATTTCCGTTTCTTTTCGAGTACAATGACAGTTAAAATTCCCACAGGCAGAGTTTCTTTCAGGCATCTCCTCCGGGGGGGAGGGGGGGCTTAGCCTTCCAGAAGAAAGTCTACCCCCCCCCCCCACCCCGAGCGAAATGGAATTTATATAGAAAACATATTTTTTACCAGTGTCCGCACCCCCTCCCCCGGAAAATGATGTCCGCCCCCCCCCCCCCCCCCCCCCCCGCCGAAAATCTCAAGTGCCCCTACTTCCCCCCCCCCCCCCCCCCCCCCCCCCCCCCCCCCCCCGGAGAAAAAAAGTCTGGAAGAAACACTGGTTTTCTCTCCTTCCTGAAAATGGACTCAGCTATAGCCACCAAAAGGGCTTTAAATATAAAAAGCCCTACTTTTGTGAAGAAACATAAAACGCCATTGTTAAAAACAGATAAAAAAATATAACACTTTAGTACGCTTAGATTATGCTAGTTATTTCGTTAACGGTTAATAAAGTGAAATAGCAGCCAGCAAAGTAAAAACAAAATAATTTTACTTTGTTCTGTTCGATATTTAAAACTTTTGTAATGCTTCGCTACATTTTCAAAGTAAGTCGAAGTACACTTTATATATTACACGTAATTTGACAATAAGAATTCATCAGAAGGAAAATACACTTCTCTTTCTTCTTCGTTCTTAATTCTAGTGTTGAAAGAGATTCACTTCAACAAAGTTAAGTATTACATGTCAACTTGTTATGCGCCATATAGGCCGTTGGCTCCGATTTCAGCCTACTTTTCTTTTTGGATATGCTTCCATAAACTTTGTCCAACCAAGAACAAAATACAAGGCAGCAGTTGTTTGATTTTGGAGTTGTCTTTCACAGATAAGTTTATGTCGCCAGCTATCGAGCCTCATCTGCCCGGGGGTTCAAAATTGGGACTCTTCGGTTCAGCAACCAAGAACTTAACCGACTCGACTACGGCAGGTTCTTGAAAAGAAATAAAATACAAGGAAGCTGAACTTGCTTGATGGTAGAATGATGTTCCCCCAAGTCGCGTCCAGAGCTGTGCCATCAGACCACTTCATCAGCCCTTCGTTAGCTCGATCATCCAAGCCAATCCAGAAACTGATGTTGAGAAATCTGGTTATGGTCAGGAGGATGTCCAGTTTGTCTTGTGTTTTTACTGTGTAAAGGCGTGTCCCACTTGCTTGAAGTTTTGATACAGATTATAATTAAGCGTTTTAACATAATTGTACTAAATGCATATATGCAAAAACATTTGAGTCACATACACACGTTATATGTATATATCTATAGGCATTGGTGTGTGTGTTAAACAAGAGAAACGCTTGTATTCTCTCTCTTTCTCTCTCTCTTTATATGTATATATATATATATATATATATATTAGCATATATAAATTATATATATTCAATGAATGAACAAATACATCATATTATTGGTGACAACACACATTATTTTATTCAAATATTGGAAGCTAATGAAAAATAGATTGTATTCATTGATCAATAGCATAATACCTTTGCAAGCTGATTCAGCCGATGCGTAATTTTCAGTGGTAGTTGACACCAGCAAACACGCTGTCGTGTTGTTTTTGTATTTCTTTGTGAAACCAGTTTTGATACATCGAAGCTGTGTGTAGACAAGTTCTGTGTTGGAGATAATAGACTTGTCCAAGAGAAGCCACCCACCTGTGATTGAAAACACTTCATCCATGTAGCTAAACATTTCTTATAAAAACTCGTGATCAAATATAGTACTGATTTTCTTTTCGCTTCGTGGTTCAGTTAGGATTAAGATTGAGGTCTTCGAAAAATCAACCTGAGATTATACAGAGTTTAAGGTAGCGATAATATGAATGGTACATTTTCAAAATCAAACGTCATCTGCCAACAAAGTTCTACTCATCTAAGTACAAACTCAACATAACTTTAAATATGAAAAAATATACGCTTAAATTAATTTAATTTTACTAGTTTCAACTTCAAATAACCATTATTGTTATACTGTTTCGCTACAATCCAATAAATAAGGCCTATAGGATCAGTGTTTCTTCCAGACAATTTTCTCCGGGGGGGGGGGGGGCACTTGAAATCTTCGGGGGGGCGGTAAACTTTCTTCGGGGGGGGGGGGGGCGGACGCTGTTAAAAGTATATATTTTCTATATAAATTATATAAATTTCATTTCGTTCGGGGGGGGGGGGCGGTAAAACATTTTTCGGGGGGGGGGCCAAGCCCCCCCGAAGAGATGCCTGGAAGAAACTCTGTATAGGATTAGATCATGAAGGTTTTTAGTCACACAGGAGCCAGGCAGCTAAAATGGTTTCCAAAGTCACTTTAGGTAAGCTGAGACGGCTAACATAAACCAAACTTCTTTTTTTTTATTCGTTTGCTGAATAAATAGAAACAAATTATCTATGTTTCATCGGCAGTATTGATTGCCAGGTTGAAATAAAAAAAAAACAGCATTATTACAGAGTGTGTTTCTGAAAACAATTGAATTAAATAAAGGTAAAGTAACAAAAAAATATTGCAATCCGCTGATATATGCGAAGTGGGGGAGGGTGGTAAAATATAGCAGCTTCACTTAGGTATCGTTCATAAATTACGTCACACTCTATGGGGAGAATGGTGGGTATTGAACAGGGAAATGGATGGGCTTTTGTGACAGGGGGTGAGTAGAATAGAGATAACCCTCTTGAAAACAATACTGTGATCTTTTAAAGGATGACGCCAAAAGAAACAAATAGAATACAAAACTGAAGATGTAGCCCTACCCAGTTTGCAGGAGTTCTGACTAGTGTTGTAGAAAAACCCATAACACGTCTCCGTGTTCCTTGAACACATCCTGCCACAGCTGAGCATATCCGAGACTTGCATATAGTCACTGGTGGGGTAGAGGACGATGCTTGGGTTGTTCATGCGAGTAAAGATGGTGGCTTGGTTCGGTGTTTTCGAGGCTCCTTCTGTCGTGACAAGAAACGTCGATTTTATAATATACAGTGTTTACAAATCTTCTTTCTTAATTGTAATGTTGGAAGACATTTTCCCAAAATTAATTAAGTATTTAGTGTCAATTTGTTATGCGCTATATATGCAGTTGACTCCGATTTCAGCCTGCTGTTCTTTTTGGATTTGCTTCCATAGCCTTTATTCATTTAAGAACAAACTACAAAGCAATATTTGTTTGAATTTGGAGTGCCCAGCGATCGCGCCTCATCTGCCCTGATTTTATACACTACTATTTAAATTACTATAAAGAAAAGCGTTAGTCACTTTAGTATCTGTTGGATACCTTTACTAATATTTAGGAAGAGACCCACGCTTTTCTTAATAGTTATTTAAATAATAATGTCTAATATTTAGGAAGAGATCTACGTTTTTCTTTATAGTTATTTAAATAGTAGTGTATAATTTATTTTCTACTTTTTTAGTGCATTATTACATAAATTTTTTTTTATTAAAACGTTTTTTAATGATTTTTTTTTTACAACATTGAGCTAAACCAGCCCGACCAAGCCGACTACCCTACTTCACAAATAAAAGCAGTCTAGGATAATGTTGTATTTAAGGCTCTTGTCAGTGGCCTATGCCCGACAGAGATGACATGTTAAAAATAGTAATAAAACAATTAATTTAGGGTATTTTTTTATCATTAATTAAAGACTCTTTGAATATTTCTCACAACACGATGTTAATGGCACAATATTTATATGGACGTGCCAAATCAGCGCTTTAAAAATGTATCAAATTGTAATGCTAGTTGTATACACGGACCAAAATATTGCACAAAATAATGGGTTTGTCGTTATTTTAGCGAACGCTGATAGGGACATGAAACGCTGAACGAAGCCAACTAGAAGTCTAATCAAATGAGCTAAACACAATACATGTCTGCATCAAATCAGTGAGAAATATATTGTCTAAAATCAATATCGTTAGTTTTTCTTTGTGCCTGCCAAAGACATCGTGGTTGTGGAGAAGCATAATTTAGGTTTATTTTAATTGTTTTTAAAAATTGGAGAAAGGCCGGAAAGACAGTCAAGTTTAAAATTGGAGAAAGGCCGGAAAGACAGTAAAGTTAAAAATTGGAGAAAGGCCGGAAAGACAGTAAAGTTAAAAATTGGAGAGAGACCGGAAAGACAGTAAAGTTTAAAATGGGAGAAAGTGTAATGTAGGCCTACTCGGTTTGTCTTTTACTTCCATCCCGGTGCTTCACACAAACTTGTTTCATTACGGGGCGGTGGGGGGGGGGGGGGGGGGTGGGAGGGGGGCCGTTAGAAGATGATGACCCACTGGTAAAATTCGTGAGTTTAGGCGGCAAAATAAGTAATCAGATGTAGAACACGCTCTTTAAATTATTTAATGGTCAGTTTAATTAATAAACTGTATATATCGAATTCTACCTAGTTTGACTGTTCTGTAGCTTCAAGAGCAACTTCTGTGTTTGGTTTGTAAAAACCGGCATTGAGAAATGTACCAGTATGTTTTACTTCATTATTTGTCAAATATAAAATCTACGATTATTTGTTATTTCTTGTTATGCGTTGGGCATTTTTTTTTGTTAACATAATTCAAACTATTCAAAAATTCACAACACGTTTAAATTTAAATACAAATAATTAGGCTATCTATTTAATTTTACTTTACTTCAAATGCCGCTCGGAAACCAGGGTTGAAAAGATATTTATACCCATCTTGGAATTCCGCTAGAGTTGAACAATACATAAAAATCAAGCTTCAAAGCGTAATCTAATATATAAAGCTCAAATCTGTATGTAAAAATAAGTATGTTTGTCGTTGACATACTTCTATGGATTTAAGTGTTAGACTATTATCGTGCTCATAGTCTAAATTTATGAGTTAAAAAATTATTATTGAAAGTGTTGGGAAATAATTTTCATTTTTCAAACTGATAGTAATAATTGTCGGCATGTTCATTAAACACAATTTTTGAAAAATAACAAAAATTCTAATTATGTCTGAAAAATATTTATATTTAGTCCTTTAGCACTTACTTCCCTTTGATAAATTAGGAAAACACAATTACTTCCCTTTATAAAACATTGCATTATTGGAAAAGAATTTACTTTTTATTACTTTGTTTTGGTGTTGGGAAAAAAATAATTACATAATTAGCGGGGATTGATCAAGTGAAAATGTTGTAGGTATTTTACGGTTAAGCTTGGAGTATTATAATTGTTCATTTGGTTTGGTTTGGCACCTACGTTCGTTTATGTGAGTGCAAAAGACTATGAATAAGTTGGGATACTATAGTCGATTATTAAGCTGAAACAGGCGATTCTGCCCCGGGCTAGACTGTGAGCACTTTGCGTTTATGTTCGCGTTAGTCTTTTCTTTGTGTTTAGGTTGCGTTTGCGTTAGTGGTTGCGTTTTGATTTGGTTCGTTTTTGTTCTTTCTTTTTTCGTTTTCGTTTGTGTTTTTTTTTCTTTGGGTTTGTGTTTGTATTTGTGTTTGTGGTTGGTTTTGCGTTTGGATTTGGTTTGTTTTCGTTTGCTTTTTCGTTTGTTTTTTTCTTTGTGTTCGTATGGTGTTTTTGGTTGTGGTTGGGTTTGTTGTTAGGTTTTTTTTCGTTTGCTTTTTTGTTTGTTTTTTTCTTTGTGTTTGTATTGGTGTTTGTGATTGTGGTTGGGTTTGTTGTTAGGTTTTTGTTTTCGTTTGTATTTGTAATTGTGTTAGCGTTATGTTTGCGTTTTGTTGTTTTGGTTGGTTGTGGTTTGGGTGGGCAATGCCGGGTTTATGATGATTACTAAACACACAGGTAATGGTCTTTAACGGAAAGGTTTTTCACAGAAGCCAGAGCAGGGCCTGGCCGGGACGGCTAGTAATGTTATAAACATCATTTCCAAACTATAACGCAAAGTATTTTTAAACTAGATAGTTAAGTAATCAAAAGAGTAAAATAATAACACAATAGGATAATCAACTTACCTAGAGCAATGATGTTAAAGAAGAAATAAAAAGCCAATTTGATCACAAGGCTAAAAAAATACATTGTAGATGAGTTGATCCGTATATTACAATTAACAAATGTATTGAGCTGTAAAATAAGTTTATCAGTACAGTAAAATTGTCATAAAATGTTATCGGAACTGTAGCTTGTCACCACACTACATAAACAAGCAGACTTCTAACGGTGGTTTTTCGCAGTAAAACATTTCTTTAATGTAATCAGTGTAGTCAGTCATAGAGATGACCATCTAACGTGCCGTTTTTTTTCTGTACGTCTCATTACCTTTTGTTATCCGTAGCTGTGTTGAAAATATCATAAAATGACATCTAGCCAACGGGATTTAAGGTTACGAGGGTAGTCAATAATTAATTGCTTCTCGAACAGTCTAACGGTATTATGATTACTGTATACTCTTCGAAATCATGGACAGTTTTAAAGGATTAATAGGTTGTCAGAACTAGCAAGAGATAATTAAATACATTTGTAAAAGTGTCCTATAGTGAACTAGTCCTATATTTATATCTGGTAGTGTATCAATCACTTAACGGAGCGCTGTGTAAGGTGCAACATCAGCCATCCACTTGCAAATTACCGCAGCTAAACATATAAGTTTTTACAGTGTTGATTAACCTTAAGGAAGAATGACGAATCCATATGTCACCAAGTTCAAATGACATAATACATCTCAACTTCATTAAACATGTAATCTATTTAGTTGTGTTCATTGTAAGCTGTTTACAATGAGTTACTGTTACACAAAGCCAATCTTCTAGAACAGGAAAGGTCGTTTAGACTTCTGACACAATTTAGCCTAAGTGTACATGAAGTAAGGTTGTTTAGACTTCCTATGCAATGTATGCCAACACGATGTATAAAGTCAAACAAAAATCAGTAACGCTCAATTATTTATCTTGGCCGCGGTCCATACACCATGACGGTGTTTTGTGAACTTCCCAGTACGTAAGCACTGCCAACAGTTTCGATCCGATTGAGTTCCTATCTGAAACGTAATCAAAAGTCAAAGATCGTTAAGCTGTTCCACTTGAAGGTAGAGGCGGGTGTTAATTATGTATATGACAGTTTATCGCGTATCTGGCGCAGGGGATAAAGGCTGATCAATATTTTAACCGAACTCAGGTTGTTGTTTTTTTCAGATGGTGTCTTTTGTTGTCTTCACCAGACACTAGAATTGGTAGAAAGTAAAGCATTTTCCAATGTGTAAGACGACTTTTTTTTTAGCCTAGGAAAATATTCTTAAAAGTCGATGTAACTCTTATATGTATGTTGGCGTATTGATTGGGAGAATATATCCCACATTCATTAGTTTAATTGGAAGATTTTCTGAAAAGGGGGTAACCTCTTATTATTCGTTCAGTCTTATACGAGGGTGTTTTTTTTTTTAATTTTTACTCTAGATCAGGGGTCTCCAAACTTTTCAGTCCGAGGGCCGCATTACCCATCAAATTTCAGTTCGGGGGCCAGTTTCTTCCAGGCATGTCTTTGATTTTTCTGGGCAAAGTTCCTCAGCCATCACCAACAGACGATTTTTCCTTGGACAAAAAGATCTCCGCGGGCCGGATGAGAGGACTTCGCGGGCCGCATCCGGCCCGCGGGCCGTAGTTTGAGACCCCTGCTCTAGATGTATGGTTTATGACCCATAAAATGATACGTACTTTCCAAGTTCTTGTAATAGTAGTGATGAAGCTAAGTAGAGTTAAAAAGAAAAATAATTGTATTTTCATATTTTATTTTTGATTTATTGAATTTTTTTAATCCTCTCTATTAACTAGCCCACAAATTATATCAGTGGATGTTAACCTGGGTTCCGCTGAACCCCAGGGGTTTGGTGAGTCAGTCTAAATGGTTTGGCGTAGGTCAAGACACACATCCGATGCAAATTGATTCGCGATCGAATTTTTAATGGTCGGCGAATTGTGCATTTGAAACTGGAGGAGTTTGGTGCTTCCAAAATGGTTGTTCCAAAATGGCGAGCTTTACCGACTCGGCGTGGTCGAGTCGGTAAAGCTCATGGTAAAGCGCATGGTTGCTAAACCGAAAGGCTCGAGTTCGAACCCTCGGGCAGATGAGGCTCGTTAGCTGGGGACAGCCTCTCTTCTTGGTTGGACAAAGGCTATGGAAGCAAATCCAAAAAGAAAAGCAGGCTGAAATCGGAGTCAATGGCCTCAGTGGCACATAACCCGTTGACACGTAACGCTTAATTGTGTTGGAGGCGTGGTCGAGTCGGCAAAAAGGTCATGGTTGATAAATACGAAAAAAGTCTCGAGTTCAAACCCACTGGCAGATAAATCTCGATCCCCTTCAACACTAATAATTAAGAACGAAGAAGAAGAAGAAGCTGCCCTAGATCATGTTCGCTATAATTATTTCGTGAAATATTTAAAAAAAAAAAATCCACGTGCGATCACACAATTGTCTCTCACTCTGACAACAGCTGTGAACTTTAAGCAAAACATGTGTTTTTATATTGTCTTTTTGTTTGAACTTTTCGTTATTATAGCAAAATGACATTAAAAAGGTTATAGTAATTTGTAAATATGTATATTATTTGTTATGAAATAATCCTCTGAAATAAACATTGCTGCGATTTGTGTTCGACATTAGTACATTACTATACTACATCCATTATTACATTTCAGTTGCAAATATACGTTTTTCCAAACAATTTGAGCAATTTTTATACAACCTGTGTTATTTATTACCATTTAGAAATAAATTAATAGACTCAACACAACTTAAGAGGGTAGGCTCCAGAAAAAAAACCAAGCTTCTTAATTAAAACGTTTTATATATTTATGTGTGTATATCTAAGTTAGGGTAATTAAAGGAAAATATTGCCATGCATCGGGGACCCTTTTGAAAATATGGTTGCCATGGCAACGGCGGCTATCTTTAAAAAAACATCCTTTTCTGGAGTTCTAGAATTACATAAACTAACATATATATCGGCTATATAACCATTAATCCTTCTTGTACTAACACTAATAGAGCTAGTTTTTGTAACAGAAAGCTCTCTAGAAATTTTTTTTTAAATTTTCAAAATATAAGTATAAGATCCTATTCCCTACCATTTGTCAAATTTTGAGTAATTTGCGTAGACCAAAAGTGGTACTATACGCTATTTTCGATTTCCAAAAAAAAAAAAAAACCAACGCATATGAATTTATAAAGTACTTGTATTACACACTTGTATTTACACATATCGTTTGACGTTTACATGGTGCACAATTCTTTTTTCAACGAGATTCTATTCTATTATAAAAAGTTTAAGTAAAAAAATGGATAAACCCCACCCCCTGGTTCATTAAATGTAATTATTGAGGGTTTTTTTGTTTGTTTTATTAGTTTATAATATACAACATTTTAAAAATAAACTTGTATTTCTAGCGGCTGATGAGTATATTTCAGTATTTTAAAAAAGCGGTTAAAAGATACTGAATTATTTCTTGATTAGCAAGAGTAACTTGTAGCATTAAAGAACATAGTCTAGGACCACACCAGCTGTGCACCAGGATCACATACAGCTAAACAGTTTATTATTTTACTGATACTTAGATTTTATCGCGATAATAATATTTTTTTTCTAGAAATTTAACTAATGACGATGTGGCGACACCGCCAGGCTAATAAAAAAATCCGGGTAATTATGGTTAAGTCTAAGTCGTGCGTTATCTCTATTCACATCCTGTAAATATGAATAACTTTTTCCCGAGGAATCCAAGATCTGTTTACAATTTATGTCAGCACGTAGCACGTCGCTGATGGGGGATTTTAAGATGCTTAGATACAGATAGGAGAACGAGAGCGGACCAGGGGCGTAGCAACAATTTTACCAACGTAGACAAAATCCTCGATCTTTCATGTTTTGATTAGTACTCCAAGTATTTCGCAATTGTAAACTAGAGGGGGGGGGGGTTGCTTTTAATCAGTTCTAAAGAGACCATATTTTTGCACCTGTTAGTTGTCTGCCGACAGAAAAAGCTATAATGTTAAATATTATAAAATTAATTGCAAACTGCTATTTTATATAATAGTTTAAATCTTAGTTTTTTTTATTACTATAATTTCAAATAATTAAAATAAGTATGTCAAATAATTAAAATAAGTATGTCAAATAATGACAACTAAGTATATATAAATAATTGTGTTCAATATTTTTTATTATTTAACCCTACTTTTTATTTTGCTACCCCTAATTCTCTTTAATAAATCATATGAGAAAAAAATAATTTTACAAGGATTGAGTTGCTTTTTCAGATGAGTGTTGCTGTGTTTTGTGTTGTTGTAATTTGTATTTGTTTTGTGTCTTGTGCTAATTAGTTGTCTATTTTTTTCTGTTATCATATGTTTAAAAAAATGTTTTATTTTTATTTTTAGATTGCAGCAAAGCACAGTTATTAGGCAATATTATAAATAGTAGGGTATAGCGGTTTTTCTGAATCCCCTTAGCCCTAAATCCTGCGTTCAGCCCGCAGTCTTTAAATGTCCACCACTGATAGTTGGGTTATTTCCAGAGTAGAACAGTGTAATGTAAGTCATTCTAAATTTATCGCTGTTCGAAGTTTATATTGTGTAATTCTTTGGCCGTGGAGCGAAAGACGATAAGCACATATTATTTTCTTAGTTGCGTGACCCTGTTTTCTAAAACATCATTATTTAAATGTAAAAAATGCCTGCGCTTGGATAATATTTATCGGGGCACGGGTTTATCTACACTACCACCCAGCAAGCCATTGTGCAATTTTTCAGGCAGTCCCCCATGACAGTCGTGCCTCTGCCTGCTGCTTCCCCGCTTTTCTTACTTTCTTTTGCCTTGTGGCTTTTGTGCACTCGTCCACTCCCCACAAACCCCTACTCCGGAAGCCTATCTACGTTCTTCCGGTAACGCTAATCAGGAAGCCTGGCTATATAAATACTCGCACACAAGAGATTTTAACATAAACAAAAAGATTTCTTGTTTGAGTCGAAAATATTTTAGCACTCGTCTGGTCGGCCGATTGTAAAACTGAAGTGTATTTTGTCTACTGAATTACCGTGAGTTTAAGAAGGTAGGTTGATTAAAAGGTCATAAGGAGGATAGATAGATTGGATGGATGGATGGATGGATGGATGGATGGATGGATGGATGGATGGATGGATGGATGGATGGATGGATGGATGGATGGATGGATGGATGGATGGATGGATGGATGGATGGATGGATGGATGGATGGATGGATGGATGGATGGATGGATGGATGGGTGGGTGGGTGGGTGGGTGGATGGGTGGGTGGGTGGATGGATGGATGGATGGATGGATGGATGGATGGATGGATGGATGGATGGATGGATGGATGGATGGATGGATGGATGGATGGATGGATGGATGGATGGATGGATGGATGGATGGATGGATGGATGGATGGACGGACGGACGGACGGACGGACGGACGGACGGACGGACGGACGGACGGACGGACGGACGGACGGACGGACGGACGGACGGACGGACGGACGGACGGACGGACGGACGGATGTATGGATGGATGGGTGGGTGGGTGGGTGGGTGGGTGGGTGGGTGGGTGGGTGGGTGGATGAGTGGATGGATTGATTGATGGATGGATGGATGGATACTTAAAAGCATTGAAATAAAGTTTTCGACCACTTGGAAGTAATTAAATACATAAGTCCACATTTTTTTATAGCCACTGCTTATACCTGATCCAAATATTTTTGTATGAATGTACATGCGTATTCATGCGATTAAAATGGATTTAACATATAATATGGTCTTTCTATTCTAAGCGAAACTAACGCCTCATTACGGCTGTTGTTTTCCATTTTAAAATTTAAGTAACGTTTTAATTTGTGTGAATTAATTTATTTAACCATTTAATTAACATACGTAACTCATTTTGCATAACATTACATTCCAGTAATTATAATCGTTTGTCTTGATTAAAAAACTTTTAACAATATATGAAATATGCTCTGTCTTAGAGGAAAGGTCTACGAAACGATCTGCGTAGCTCGTGTACTGTTTGTCTTAATGGAAAAAAAAATTCCGTTTTTTTATAGTACAAATTTACGTGTTAGGATTTTTTAGATATATATTTTTTAAATTCACTTTTAGATGCTTGTTTTCTTATTTAAAGAAATCTTTTTTTCTAACAGATTTTACAGTAAAGATGATTTTGGCTGTGACGGTCGCGTTGTTGGCTCTCGTGGTTTACAGAGCTGACGCTGGCTGTAGCAGATCAAACTGGTGGTCAAGCCTGGACAAGCAGGGACTATCGAGGTGTAGCGATGGGAATGATTTCATCTCGGGCTTCTACAGAAACGACAGAACAGGTTGGAAGAGTGACCCCTTGGGGTTGTTGGAAGAAGCGGAATGTTGCTCTAGGAACTGGCCTTGGACAAACTCCAAAACCCAAACCATGTACGCTGATTGGTGGGGGACGTTCGACAGAGACTATACTTGGGCTAATTGTCCAGCTGGTTATTTCTTAAATGGTTTGTACATAAGTGGAAACGGCAACGGCAAGTTATTTAACATCGAAGAAGGGAGATGTTCTAAACCAGCAGACCACCCCCCATACCACGGGCACTGTTATGATCATGATATTTCTTCATGCTTTGATAACAAAGGCTTATGTAGATGTAACAACGACTACTACGTCGCTGGTATATACCGCGGTGGCTGTGATAAACTCTACTGCTTAGAGAAACTGAGGTGCTGCAAGACTGCAGAGGAACCTGAAGCACTAGACGAGCTGTACAAGGTGAAGACTCGCATCATGGACACCACGATGTCGGACATGGCTTCATTGGCTAATTATATGGGCTACGGCTGGTGCGCGGGTTGTAGAGCAGCTCATATTGGAGAAGATTTTAGAAGACACGGCGACACATGGAACGCTGATAAAAGTGGACGCTGTAAAGGGTATATGAATGATAGACGTCTGAGCATTGCCTATGGTGACTGGAGCTTTGGAATAAAGGACATCAAGTATGGAGAACCTGTGATACAAGACTTGACTCCCGAAACGATTGACTCTGGTACCCTTTATAACGATGAGCCGACTGATGCCACAAAGGGTGTAACGAGATCTGAGACCAGTGTCCGTAGCGTCACCCACACCACAACAAGCTCTTGGAAAAACAGTCACGAGCTAGATGTCAAGGTGACTTACACACCTTCTTCAGCAACAGGGGGTGTTGGTGGGTCTATCGGCTACAAATTCAACTATGAAAAAAGCACAACGTCTTCAGATGAAACAAATAATGTACAGTCGAATACATTTACGGTTAATACGTCGAAAATTCTGAAACCAAATTCTGCAGCTAAATGGAAACTTGTTTTATCCAAAACAAGGACATCAGTTACCTATACAGCTACAATTATAGCCAAGTTTTCAACAGAATTTAAAGGTTTTCTGCGTTGGGGTGAAGGACCACACGGTAAATATACCAACTACCATTACCAGTATCGTGGTAGCGGAGCTCGTCCCACGTTTAACTACAGATTTGGTGACTCCAGCATTCCCTTCTACACAGCCCTGAAACGACAAAGCGAAACCAACTCCCAGCCATGGTTGTGGAACGACATGAAAAATGGCCATCCGAATGCACAACATTTAATCAACGATCTGTGTAATGAAAACAGGTACGTCTTCAAATTAACTGGCCGGTTTGATGACGTCATTGGCAAACACGTCGAGTTTCGCTGGGAGTCTGCTCCGTTACGCAAGCGATCAGCCGACCGTGGCGAGAAGGTGCCTGATGTCATACACCAGAACTCCACTCACGTCGCCAAGGCTCTGCCTAACGATGTTCCACTGGTGAAGCTTGAGCCTCCTACAGTCAACATAGAGGTCGTGAATCAAGCTAAGATTGAGAACCTCGAGTTAACTGGTTCTTAGTTATATAAAAGGAGTTTTACTAAGCATCATATATGTTATACCTTAGTTGTACCATTTATACTATTTAATTGTATGCTTGATAGGTAAATCATAAAAAAGCCACTTAACTAGAGGGATTTTGCAAGGGTTTGGACATTAGTTACGATTAGTGAAGAAAAGACCGTGGTTAGAGATTGCTGCATCACTATTTTATATTTAATTTCATTAAAACAGTATATTTAAATTGCTACTTTAAACTTTTTTGGAAATAAAGTAAAAATCACCAATATAGGCTACCATATCTGAACTCAAATTGTTAATATCTCAGAAAAAAGTAACGTGTATCTCAAGTGGAGGGAGATAAAGTTGGAATGAGACGTGGTTTTTAGCCGAGGGTTTATGAATTTAAAAAAAAAAATATAAATGCCATGGAAAGTTCGCTAAAATTAATTCGATTGAAGAAGAAATTTAATTTATTTCAAAATTAATATATATTAGTATTTTTTTTATCATTGTCTACATTTTTGAAAAAAAAAATCCCATTTAAAATCATAACGTACTTAATGTTACAGCAAGCCCTGCTTATGTTTAGATAATCGTTACGTGTGCTAACAAAACTGCATGTGCACTGCGTTCAACAGGATTTGTGAATATTTACTTTTTTCATTAAAGGTCTATATGTAAATAAGAAATTATAAGGAAATATAAACGCTATCGCAAAATTTAAACGGAAACATAAACACTAAAATAAAGCCAAACATAAAAAAAACGCAAACATGAATAAAAACGTAGAACTTAATGCAAACACAAAAATAAACGCAAACACTCATAAACGCACCCATACATACATATATGGAAAGGTAAACACGGGGATAGACGCAAATAAAATACACAATGCAAACAAAACGGAAACAATAACGCAAACGGAAACATAAACGCCAACATAAGAGCAAACGACGCAAACACATATATAACCGTAAATATACAGAGAATTTAAAAAAAAAGATGCAAAAGATAACAGCAACGGAAACATAATGGTAAACATAAAATCAGCTAACATAAACACTAACTCAATCGCATATTTAGAGGAAAACACAAACTCAAATAATAACGCAAAAAAAGCAAACGCAAACATAAATGCAAAAATAAACTCAAAATCAAACATAAACATTAACGCAAAGACAAGAATAAAAACAAACTTAACATGAACGCAAACCGAAACGCAACCTTAAACGCAAATATAAATTGAAACGCATACATATAGTTACAGTAACGGAAAAGCTATAAGGCAAATATAAACTCAAACTATATTTTTTGAAAAAAACATCTTAACGTAATTATCAATAATGCAAACGAAAACGTAACGCAACTGAAATAATTAAACGCTCATGTAAAATCAAACGACGCAAACGCATACATAAACGTTAAAAAAATAAACTTAACCTGAAACATAACCATAAACGCAAACAATGAATGGAAGCAATAACGCAAACATAAAATATATTAACTGAAACTCAAACATAAAAAAACTAAAAGGAATTAATTTTTTTCCGACGATTTTTTTTATAGTCATTAATCTCTATATAGGGAAGTAATTTGTATAATTTGAAAGATAAAATTAATATGTGTATAAAGGATAATACATTTTTAACACGTTTTTCTAAACTCAGCTTCGCGTTTGTTTGTTTGTTGTTAAAATTGACAACGAAAATTAGCCCACTTCTGTTCATACATTTGATGACAAAAAACGTGGGTCGGGCAGATTTATGATTAAAGCGAAAAGCACACAACACACGAATTTTGGAAATTTGATGGTGAACGTACCCACGTTTTTTGTCATCAAATGTATGAACAGTCATCACAAGAACCTGCACAGCTCGAGGAAGCACAAAATCTACGAGCAGTCATTGGTAGATCCCCGAGGGTCGGAAGAAAAATTTATTTTCTACTTTTTAGTCCACAAGAAAAACGTGGTTTTTTAAAAAGTTTTTTTTTAAAGTATTTCATTGAATTCATTTTTGCTGGGGATTCAAACGCAGAAAAGATGCAACAAATATCTCTAATAATTATATTCAGCGGCGTATAACAGACGTGTCAGCAGATGTTAAAGAACATATTTTGAATAAAATCAGGCCTTCATTATTGGATAGTTTTCCAGTTGAGGGACCAACGGACTCGTTTTTGTTAATGCAAAGTGTCCTAAATTGAATGTTAGTCTATTAATGACAATTGAAAAGTTTGTCCATAATTTTCGATTTTTTAAGTACACAAGTATACCCGTTAGTCTTGAAAAACTGTTTCGGGGGTCATTCTTAATTGACGTCACGCTTGTTCGACAATTTTTTATCTTTCCCCTTCTCTCCCACTGTCACACATCATCAAAAAAGCCAGACCCCCATATTCAAAAAGACGTCACACCTCAGGTAACATGGGTTTGACCACATTATCCATTTATATGCTGAAGACACAGAAAAATGTGAACTCTACTTCACCTGTCCCGTGTCCCGACATGTCCCGATAGGCAACTTTATCATTCACATCTATTTTTTTTAAATGGAAAGAAATCTAACATTGACATGATGTCTCCAACCCGTATCACCCGCATGGTAACTATTAAACTGTGATCTCGCCCAGCTGGAAACATACAATATTCATGTTTTAAAATATGGCCCTAATTTGTATGTTTCTATTGTTTTTATTAGCCACGTGTGCTCTTCTCTATCAAAGGCTTTTTGTTGGTCTATACTTAGTATTGCTAACTGCGTGTTTTTTTCTGTAGTGTATAAAGTCCCTCATTAAATGGGTGTGATGATTTTTATTACGTTTCTACCCGTCAGGCTATATTTTTGGTCTTGGTCTATTACTTTTTCCATAACGGCCTCAATCTTCTTTACTAATGTTTTTTCAGAATTTTATAGTCACTGTGTTAAGAGAGAAATGGGTATGTAGCTAATTACTTTAGTTTTGTCTTAATCAGGTTTTGCGATTATGGTGATATATGCTCTGTTAAAATCTGTCGCGCAGTACCCTCTCCCATGCATATCTTTGTATGTGGCCTGTACAATCGATAAATATATTTTTTGAAAGTTTTGTAAAATTCATTTATTAAGCCGTCTTGTCCTGGAGCTTTATTTAATTTTAAGTTGTCTATTGTCTTGGCTGTGTTGTCTTCAGTTATCGGATTATTAATGGCCTCGTTTTGTTCGTCTGTTATTTGCTTCGCGTATGCTAAATATTTGACTTGCGTGTCATGGTCGATGTCTTCTTTTTCAAAAAGTTGTCGGTTGTAGTTCAAGAAACGTGTTTGTATTGTCCATTGGTCGTTGGCTTCTGTGCCGTCGTCATGTTTTATGCTTTTTATTTGTTTGTTATGTGCTTTTATTTGCTCTAGGGTGTTGAAGTGATGCGAAGGTTCCTCAATACCAATCATGTCTTCCTCTAACTAGGGCACCTTTGTACTTATGTACTTGTAATGTTTCTAGTTGTGTTTAAATGTCGTTTATTTTATTATGTGGTTTGTTTTAACTGACGAGGACTTCTCCTAGTGTATAATAAGTGTATATTAGTTGTTGTTCCCCTTTGACAAGTCTTCAAACTGTCGCCGCATGGTACCTAAGGTCATGTCCTCTGTAAGTCTTTAGTACGGGTCGGTCGTTGTCGTTCACCTTTACACGGGTTTGTCTGGCCTAATGTATCGTCCCAGTATCTACTAACATGGTGTGCTGAGTTCGCTAGGCTTCATGGTGTCGTCAGTTCTATAGTATAGTGGTGAAGAGTTGTTGTTGTGTATCCTATTGATTTTCAATAAAATTGTCCTTTTCGTTTAAAACCGTCGCTTTCGTCTCTAGCCCAATGCTATATATATAGTTCCGCGTCTTGTGGAATTAAGTGATAAAGTCAGTCCGCGGGCTTTCGACTCAGTGTGGCTCTAAAAATAGAGTCCACGTTCGTGTCAGCGTATATTTCCCCGTCAAATTGTGTCTTGTTACGAGTCACCCATATAGTATATCTATAAATAGCGGTCGCAGTCAAAACGTCTTCATCCGTCTTTCTATTTTTTGACTTTATTATGTTGTTAAGGGGGATTGCTTTGTTAATTGCATCTTTATGTTTTGTCTTGAATATCTCACCTAGAGTTTGTTTAGCTAATTGTACTGTTTTACATTCTAAGAAAATGTGCTTTTCTGTTTCTTGTATGTTTTGTTTGCACATCTGGTAGGTGGTGTTTCTGTTAGTGTTCACGTTAGTGTTTGTTGGGATGGCCGTTATATTGTAAATGAGTCTATGGCCTATTTCTTTCTATTTAGGTTTGATGCGCTTACCATGCAAATTTCAAAATGTGTCGCTATTGTCTATGGTGTTGTGTTCTCTGGTCCACTTAACTCTTTTGCAAAGTGGTTGTAATTAATCTTTCACCAGATTGTCGTACATTTTATTTGAGTTTTATCCTATGATGTTTCTATTTTTTTTAGAGATGGCTAGCGTGTCTCTATAAAAGTGACCTAAGTCTGTCCCTCCGTAATGCAAAGTGATGTTTGTTTGCTTTAATATGGTGTCGATGCTTTTCCCTATGTAGTATTGTGCGAGTGGATGGTAGTGTGACTCTATCTTAATCTATCTATATACTACTAAAAGTCAAGTTTGTTTACATGTTTGAATATTTATTTGTTTTTTTGTTTGTTTGTTTGTTTGGCTGATTGACTATTGCACATGGTTGCACTCATCGTGGAGAGCTGTAAAATAGTATGTAGGTAGAGAAAAATTGTTGTTTTAAGACAGACTGTTAATCACAAATTTATTTAAAGACGTTAATTAATTTATTGATTTATTCATAGGTATATTAACCACGATTTTTTAAAAAGATTTGAAAAGCCATTAGACTCGACGGAAACAGTGACGTCACATGATGTGTTTTTTTTTTACATCGATAATGGCGGCCTATCGAAGAAGATTGTGTTCCCATTCCCATGTTTAACGCGTTCTAAAGCTAATTTTCTGTCGGCTTTAACTTTAACAATACGTCCGTTTGCTGTATTTATTACGTTCCAACACTTATATCATTTTTAAACTGTCTTTTTTCATTTAGTTTTACAATAAATTTCTCTAGATCTAAAGATCAGCTGTCGAAGGAAAGTTATGAATCTAGCCTAGATTAGATCTAGATCTAGCCTAGATCTAGGTCACTAGACTTAATGTAAATTCTAGATCTAGACTTAATGTAAATTCTACATCTAGAATCTATTTCAGGCCTTAATACATCTAGAATCTATTTCAGGCCTTAATTATTTTATATAAATCTTTGTTTGGCTAATTTAAGATAAAATTTAATTTGAAAGTTACTACTACTAGACTTAGATCTAGATCTATGCGCGTAAATCAAGTTGCATAAGGAGACT